ATCTAAAAATCAGCCGGGCATGGTAGCATATGCCTGTAATTCTGGATACTCGGAAGGCTGAGGCAGAAGGATCACCGGAGCCTAGCAGGTCAAGGCTGTGGTGGCCGGGAGCGGCCACTGCACTCCAGTCTGGGCGACAGAGTGAGACTCCAACTCAAAAAATAATAATACTTTCTCTGGAAGGCTGAGGTGGAAGGATCGCTGGAGTCCAGCAGGTCAAGGCGGCGGTGGCTGGGAGTGTGCTACTGCCCTCCAGCCTGGGTGACAGAGTGAGACTCCTACTCAAAAAAAGATAATGATAGTAATAATAATTTCTCCTTTGGGAACTTTTAAATTAAAGTACATATTGACAATATAGTGTCATTTGAAGATTCATTGAATTAATATGATTGAGCTGCATGAACTACAGAGGTGTAGTCAATTCAATCATGTAATTAAGTCAGTATCCTTCATTAGCATACTGCAAGAAATGACAAAATGGTATGAACAATCATTATTATGAGTCAGCAATGAGTAGAAGAAACAGACTATTCCAATCAACCATGATTTAAAACAGAGTTATTTAAAATCTTACAGGATACACTGTGAAGCTTGACATGTTGATCTCTTTGGATTAAACAAGCCCATGAGTTCAAGACCCGCCTGGGCAACTTGGTGAGACCTCATTTCTACAATAAATCAAAAAATTAGCCGGGTGTGGCAGCGCGTGCCTGTAGTTCCAGCTACTTGGAAGGCTGAGGCGGAAGGATCACCGGAGCCCAGCAGGTCGAGGCTACGGTGGCCAGGAGAGGCCACTGCACTCCAGTCTGGGGGACTCAATGAGAGTCCAACTCAAAAAAAAGAAAAAAAAAAAAAAACTTAAAGGGATTTTACAACAATAAGACAGCGCCAATACGCATTTTATTTTCCCAGGAATCATTACTTACAGTACTCATCACTTCACAGTGTACAACATACTTACTGTACCTTTAAGCAAGTTATTTCACAAAGTATCTTCCACACATACCTTCTTGTATTAAAAAGTAGCAAAGAAATTTTTTAAAAAGTTATTTGGAATTGCTCCTTCCCAGTGCAATTTAGTGACTTATTACCTCAAAAGTCATCACTTGTCTCTTTTCTTCATATCTCATTAATATGCCAAGTAGACATATTAATGAAAGCATACTGGTATTTACTCATTATATTAAATATATAATAAATCTTTGCTAATTCCTCAAAGCAATTACATAGTAAAACACAGTCAGCCGGGCTCGGTGGCTCAGCCTGTAATCCCAGCACTTTGGGAGGCCGAGGTGAGTGGACTGCCTGAGCCCGCGGGTTCTAGACCCACCTGGGCAACTTGGTGAGACCTCATCTCTACAATAAAATCAAAAATTAGCTTGGTGTGGTAGCGCACGCCAGTAGTTCCAGCTACTTGGAAGGCAGAGGCGGAAGGATCGCCGGAGCCCAGCAGGTCAAGGCTGCAGTGGCTGGGAGCGGCCACTGCACTCCAGTCTGGGTGACAGAGTGAGACTCCAACTCAAAAAAAAAAAAAAAAAACCACAAAACACAGTCAATGCTTGTGGAACAACTAAGGTATATTAAAATGAATATACATTAACATGGCATTGCAATTAATGTTATCTCATTTTTCTAAAGGATTTAGTCTGTGAATAATAAAAAATCAACGTTACCATATGACACGAAAAGTGCTAAAGAATATCTTCCAAATACTAATCTATGAATAAACTCAAGCTTAAGGTGCTTTGGGAAAGCATATTGAGAGTGGAGGTGGTAAGTGGATCAACTTTTCTTAGACCATTACAAAAGAAAATGTGATGCACTCAGACTGACAACAAAATAAGACCTTTCAAGCTCATCATTGAAATTGTCAGAGTCCTAAAAGTACAAATAATATAATGTAGCTTGAACAAAGACCTTTTTTCCCTAGGAATCCTCTTCAACATATCAAAACTATAACATTTTTTCAGACAAAAATGCAAAACTCTTCCACGAGGTTAACCACTGCTACAATTAATTATACTTTAAATGATATCTAGAAACTTGCTGTATTGGAATTTTATAGTAATCAGCATTGCTCAAAAAATGTCAAGGCACCTAATAATGCAAAACAAACATTTCAAAATTCAAGCTATAATTATGACCTTTTAAATTCTTATGACACAAGAGCAGTATTTCTTTGTCTTTTTTAATGGCTAAGTTTGAGGGAATGATGTGGAATCTGTTTGTCTTGTCTTTTTCCTGACATGAGCACTCCTATTTTTTCCTCAAGAAAGAAAAGGGATTTTTTTTTTTGATTGATGAGTATGGTTGCCTAATCCATTTCAATTATCAGTGAGAAGCATCATGTGCTACAAGCTGGACATGGTCACTGACACATACTCAAGTATAGATTTTTTTTTGTTGTTAATAAGGAACACTAATTAAAAGGTCAAACAAGCAGGGATCGGTGGCTCAGCCTGGAATCCTGCGCTTTGGGAGGCTGAGGTGAGTGAATTTCCTGAGCCCACGGGTTTGAAGAATTGCCTGGGCAACTTGGTGAGACCTCATCTCTACAATAAATCAAAAAAATTAGCCAGGCTTAGTAGCGTGTGCCTGTAGTTCCCGCTACTTGGAGGGCTGAGGCAGAAGGATCGCTGGAGCACAGCAGCTCCAGGCTGCGGCGGCCGGGAGCGTGCCACTGCCCTCCAGTCTGGGCAAAGGAGTGGGACTCCAACACAAAAAACAAAACAAAAAAAGGGCAAACAACGGGAACAAAAAGGTATTTGAATTATCCATAGTAGATAACGTCATTGTATTTAAAACAACATTGCATTGCCACTACAAAGAGTTGCAATATCTATCATTAAACATTGTTATCACTTTATTTGCCTTGGGGGAAAACAAGGACTTATAAAGGTACAATTTAAATATCATGATCCATTTATCAAATGACCAAAATATAAACCATAAAAATGATGTTAGATTAGAAATCACTGAATTTCTTGGAGTCTCAAGTATAAAATAAGGAAGACAATTATATTTGCCTGTCAATTTTACAAGATAATTGTGAATAACAAACAAGATAAATGTAAAGCAGATCAACCTGTCCACTGCTATATATGTGCCATTATTTTTCTTAAATGAGGTAATACTCATGATAACTAATGGAATTGAATTACTACTCTAACCAGTCCCTAGAAGACACGATTTCATTCATAGGTTAGCTAGAATATGAATTCAAAAAGAAGTATTTATGCCTCTTAATGGTAACGTCTTCTGGCCGAAATATTTCAGTTTGAGCTACCTGAGTCCAACAATCTCATCTTATATGATTAATACAAAAATCATAAAATGAATATTTATACAGATGAAATTACAAAATAGTAATGAATCTCTCTCTCTCTCTCCACTATAAAATAACATAGTAGGCCCGGCTCGGTGGCTAAGCCTGTAATCCCGTGCTTTGGGAGGCCAAGGTGAGGGAACTGCCTGAGCCTGCGGGTTCCAGATCCGCCTGGGCAACATGATGAGATCCCATCTCTACAATAAATCAAAAATTAGCCGGGCGTGGAAGTGCGCGCTTGTAGTTCCAGCTACTTGGAAGGCTGAGGAGGAAGGATCACTGGAGCCCAGCAGGTCGAGGCTGTGGTGGCCAGGAGCAGCCACTGCACTCCAGTCTGGGCGACAGAGTGAGACCCCAACTCAAAAAAATCAAATCAAATCAAATAAGACCAGGCTTGGTGGCTCAGCCTGCAATCCCGCGCCTTTAGGAGGCTGAGGTGAGTGGATTGCCTGACCCGTGGGTTCAAGACCCGCTTGGGCAACTTGGAGAGACCTCATTTCTACAATAAACCAAAAATTAACCAGGTGTGGTAGCACACGCCTGTAGTTCAAGCTACTTGGAAGGCTGAGGCGGAAGGATCGCTGGAGCCCAGCAGGTCGAGGCTGCGGTGGCCGGGAGCAGCCACTGCACTGCAGTCTGGGTGACAGAGTGAGACTCCAACTCAAAAAAATATATAAATAAAATTAAATTAAATAACATAGTATTCTTCTGAAATAAACCTAAATGTTCTATAATCTAAATAAGTGGTACTAGCCGGGCTCGGTGGCTCAGCCTGTAATCCTGGGCCTTTGGGAGGCTGAGGTGAGTGGATTGCCTGAGCCCGCGGGTTCGAGACCCGCCTGGGCAGTGAGACCTCATCTCTACATTAAATCAAAGAATCAGCTGGGCGTGGTAGCGCGTGCTTGTAATTCTGGCTACTCGGAAGGCTGAGGCGGAAGGATCGCTGGAGCCCAGTAGGCAAGGCTGCAGTGGACGGAAGCGGCCACTGCACTCCAGTCTGGGTGACTGAGTGAGATTCCAATTCAAAAATAAATAAATAAATAAATAAATAAATAAGTGGTACTATAAATATATGTATGAAGAATTGATCTTATTACATTGAAATTCAGTAGAATCCATTAAATAACTACTTACTTCTGGCAACAGAATTTTGAAGACCTGTAGATGACATAGACATTTGTTTGTTGAAAGGAGAAGTTCCCTGTTCAAGTTTTTCAGTAGATATGGATCGCTTATTGGCTGAGAAAAGATGTAACATTTACTATAATCATATTTCAAGGAGAAAGCATCATTAGATAAAACACAATGAATTTACACGATATACTTCTATGAAGTACAGATGTACATTAATCAGGTACATGATGTTCGTTGTCAGTCATTCCTTCCAAATTATATAAATTTAACTTGTTTATTGAAATTGTGTAGAATTATGTCTAAATATAGGAAAATTTACAGTGAATCAATAGTAAACAGCCATGGGTATGGTGGTTCACGCCTGTAATCCCAGCTCTTTGAGAGGCCAGTGCAGGAAAATCACTGGAGCCCAGGAGTTTGAGACCAGGCTAGGCAACAAGGTGAACTTCCTGTCTCCACAAAAACAAACAAACAAAAAAAACAGTGGGGTGCAGTGGCACATGTAGCTACTCAGAGGCTGAAGCCTGAGAAGAATCACTTGAGCCCAGGAGCTCGAGGCTGCAGCGGACTATGTTCATGCTACCATACTCCAGTCTCCATGACAGAGCAAGACCCCGTCTCTAAAATAAATAAATAAAATAAAAATTAGCCGGGCTCGGTGGCTCAGCCTGGAATCCCGCACTTTGGGAGGCTGAGGTGAGTGGATTGCCTAAGCCCGCGGGTTTGAGACCCGCCTGGGCAACTTGGTGAGACATCATCTCTACAATAAATCAAAAAAT